CGTATTTGTTCTTAAGTTAGTTACTTTGCAGAAGATTGACATGGTGTAGTAATTTGCATTCCACGAAATAGAGTTATCCCATATATGTTTTAAATGATTTCACTTAATCTTCATATCGTGTTTTGCGCGTTTCGCGCTTTTTTCTTTGTATATTTAATTGAATTTCATATGTTACAACTTTGAATTAAGAGATAAAGTTTATTTTTTTTATTTCCTTCCATTTTGTTTTACTTGAATTCGTGACGTTATAAAGAGATAATCGTTTTCATAATATTTTTTTTCTCATTTCAAAACTAACCACGTGCAACGCACGGGTGAAGTACTAGTTAATTAATAATCATTGATCCATTTTAAATTGGGACTATTAGTGAAACTCCACTCTAGCATTTTTTTAATAAGGATGGGTCCAGCCAATTTTCACTTATTAGTGATAGACCCATCTCTTTCTTTATTTCAAAATTTACCCTCCCTCTATTCACTACTCAATACCCACCATTTTAGGCTTTTTTTTTTTTTTTTTTTCTTTTTAAATTTTTTTCGTTTGTTTAATTAAAAAGGCTTAATTTAAAAAAAAAAAATAATAAAAATAATAAAAATAATGAAAAAATAATTTTAAAAAAATCAATTTTTTTTACCAGAACAACTAAAAAACTTCTGAAAACAATTACAACATTTTCGAAATCAACTATAATATTTCCAAAATCAACTATAATATTTCTTGCATCAACTACTTTTTTTTTTTTTTAATTTATTTAGTTCATATTTTTCCATAATCAACTATACAATTATCGTAAACAACTATAACATTGTGGTGGTCAACAGCAAGTTTACCAAAAATTGAAGTGAACTGCAAAATTACTAAAACAATTATTTTTTTGTTTCATAATCAACTATAAAATTCTCGAAACCAACTACAAAATTTTTAAAACAACTATAAAATTATCGAAAACAACTACAAAGAAATTGAAACTACAAAGTAAACACCCTCGATTCCAACAAAACTACTATGAAATAAGCAAATACAACTACAAAAAAATGCGATATTCTCCAATTCACCTTGTTCATCAGCGGTGATTCAACACGGCACAATTCTTCATAAATCATGTATCTGATGGATTTAACCAATCCAACCACGGCAACAACACAAAATTACCTGCGAAAACAAAAAATACAACTATGTAAACCACCAAGTAAAACAACTATAAAATTAACAAAAACAACTACAGCTACGTCGTAATCAACAACAAAAATATAACCATAATTTCAGCAAAACTACTATAGATTAGAGCAGATACAACTACATAAACACTATCTTCTTTAATTCACCATCGTCCTGGATTCGTCAACACGACATGAATCTAAAAAATCAATCCATTGCAAAACAAAAGCGAATAAGCATCCATTGCCACTCCCTTCCATTATGCATACCTTCTATGTGTTATACATCTAATCCAAGGTATTAGACATAAAACTAAATTAGGGACATTCATCATAAATAGTTGATTATGGGATCAAATAGTTGATTCGGGGATCAATACTTCTCAGTCCAAAATAATCCAAATGTATATGAGTCCTTCAAATTATGTATGTATTTAAATAAATTAAATCCATCAAAACTAATTAATAATTAAACACATACCTACGAAGCATAGAAGAGCAAACCAGAAGGCTACTAATTACTCAATAACAACCAACAGTATATGCGTCGCCGCCGCCATATCCTCCGGCGAGTCATCGTTGATTGCACGTCGTCTCCACCGGCGGATGTGCAGACAATTTAGAAGGGGGATTGATTGCGGCGATTTGTGGATCAGAGACGAAGATAGATGAGTGGAAACAAGGAAGATCGTGAAGCGACGTTGGGGAAAAGTTGAGAAACAGTGGAAGTGGAGAGGTGGCTTGGTGGAGATGAGTAGCAGTGGCGCAGGGGAGAGAACGACAGAGAGGCGTGGCGGCTTGTAAATAAAAAATGGAAGAGGAATTAGAGAAATAGGGTTTGATGTTGTAATATAGTAAAAGGGTAATATAGACATAAAACTAAAGATTTATATTTATTCTAAATGAAAATATTAATAGAGGGGCGTCTCACTAATTATGAAAATGGGAATATATCCACCCTAATATATATAAATGATGGGGGTTCTCACTAATTATCCCTTTTAAATTTTATTTATAATTTTGGTAATAGATGAAATGATGCATGATGTATAACAACCAGTTGAAAAGTATTAAAGTAAGTTCTCTAAACAAAAATTGTATTAATAAGTCCCACCCTAACTTGAAACAATGGACCACTACACAAGGCACAATTCATAAGGGCCCTTTTGGATGTGCTTATTTTAAACAGTTGATAAACTTTTAATAAGTTGTTTTAAGAGTTAATAAATTGTTACTTCATTTTTTTTCTACTTTTACTATGCTTGGAGCATACTACCTTCCATTCATAGACAACTTCAGGTGTTCCTCTCGTGTCTATGTGCTCGGTAACCGAGTCCTTTTGACTATGAATTGATTGTGATCGTGGAGCATCTACTTTCAATTATGACGAGTTATCGTCTCTCATTGTATCATCTTCACTACAAAATTACAGGAATTAAAAAAAAAAATAAGTGAAACAAGTATATAATAAAATTTAATTCCAGGACACGATGACAATTGCAATTATGGCCACAAATGGATTTGGATGCTTCCGTATTATAGATTAAATTGATTCTCACAAATGAAAGAGAAATTGACAAAACATTTATTTTTCTTTGGGTAAATAATGCAAAATCATTCTTTTGGAAACGTCTATCTGAAAAAATAAATAAAAAATAGGATGTTCTACAAAACATGGAATATTAGTTGTTCATAGGGACGATGAGGGAACCAATTACTAGTTTTGTTTGTTTGGCGGTCGGGTTTTGCAGGCATATCTTTTCTTCGTCAGTAAACATTTGTTAACTGTTAACTAATACTGTTAACTAATACAGACAACACTTTCTAAGGATCTTCAATTAAATTAATTGGCAGGTTAGAAATGAATAACCGCAGAACTGGCTAAATACACACATAAGACTCGAACATTTCATTTAAAAAAAACAGTTTCAAGTACGAAGAGTTAACCGATGTTACCTGTCAGACATAAGACAGATTAAGAGTATTTGTTTCCCGCAAATCACTTATCGAGCCAAAGTTACCTTCTGAACATTCTTCACGCATTACCATCAATTTATCTGATATCTGAATAAAATTCGTGTAAGAAAATATAGAAAAAAAAACGAGTAGAAAGTCAATACGGCCAGTAAGTGCAGACAGGACTTTTATCGATGATCCAAATAGAGCCTATATTTTGAAATAACTCGATCTCACAATAAATGAAACAAAGTCTATGGCAGACCGAAGAGAATCACATAATTCCAGATCAAACTAGCTACCCCTGCTTTCGTTCTAAGTTCGACTCATTAGCCTCAAAGTATTATAAGTACTGAAATCATTGAATCTAGTAGCTTGTAATAAGTAAGCATGCAAATGAAAACGTACCGACAAGCTGAAGTTGAATAAATAACGAGGAATTAGAAATACCTCTTCGATGCTGCCACCGTCTATATCAGTATTGAGAGTATCCATGAAATTGTAAAGCATGTCGTCCACATGGCAAATAGATACTTCCTCTTATCCCCAAAATCAAACAACAAATTGAACATCAATTCACTCTGCTTACAACAAAAAATGGAGAAAAAAAAAAAAACAAAGTCTAATCTCAATTTTATTATTAATTAGGGCTAATTAAATCCAATTAGGCTTGCAAAAACTCTCCCCCGTCCGAAATATTCGCAATACACCAAAATTCAAATCATAATATCCTAATTCCACAAAATTAAAGCTAGCGCTAAAGATAAAATTACAGCTATAATAATTTGCATTCAGAAGTTTAACCTAGAAAAAAGAAACATACCTTTGGACTGAGTGAGAAGACGAAGCACAGTCCACCATGAAAGCAACAAATTAATTCCCTCTTGCAGCTGCGCCGCCGCACCAGCCGTCGTCGCTGCCGTTGTCGGATTGCTATTCATCCTTCTGCGCTTAAGAGTGAACGAAGCACAACCCTAGAAATAAGGTCTGCACTTTTCATAATTTTTACGTTTTATACTTCTTAGATAGCGTGTTATCTCGCGCGCTTCTATTAAAAACGTGGTGGAAAATATTATCTATCTTTGAATAATAAAAAGAGTAACTTCACCATTCCACCCTTGTACTTTTTGACCATATCACTATACCCCATCTATTCTTATTTTTTCTTACTTAACCTCTTGTACTTGGAAAGTTGTTTCTATTTTTTATTTTTTTAGATTAAAAGAGATTTAATTAGGAACCTTACATGGATGAAGCCAGACCATGAGCTAGCTTATTACAAATACGAGAAACAAATAAAAACCGATAAGAAACAAAAGATAAAGCAAGATTACGAATGTCAACTAAGTAAGCCCCAAAAGGACACAAGGAAGAGTCTTCTTCGTGCATCGGCGTAATGAGTTGACCACAGTCACCTTCTATGATAATCGACGGCCAGCCCTTAAATCTTCTCGGGCAATCAGGATTGTTGCGAGAGCGGCATGAGCTTCGCCGCCTTCAGCTCCTTGCAGTGCATGTCCAGGAATTGTTGAAACACTCCACCAGATATAGTGGTTCCCTAGGAATTTCGGGCCACGATGGACATTCTGTAATGCGGCATCAAATTTAATCTTCACTATCCCATTCGGAGGCGCGGTCCACTTCGCCAGCGGAATGGGGCATTTGGAAATATATAGTCGGCTCAAAGCATGCCATGCTAAAGATATTAAGGTACTATCTCCAACTTCTCAACTCGCATCTCGCAAACCCTTTTCCCCATGAGCTTCACGGTTCCTTAAGTCCCACGGTTTCCAACAAATGACCATAGCTAGATGTAAGGTCTCCCGAGATAATTTCTTTCGTAGCCTGTCTAACCAACTTCGAAAAGGATACTGGTTCCGACGAAAATATCGAGATCAAAGGGTTGACTCTGCCAAACCTCGGGCATGCATTCCTCTACACCCAATCAATGCGTGCATAGTCGTTCATGTGAGAGATAATCCATACAAAGTGCAAAACGTGTCCGATGTGATGTGCATGCGGAAGAGAGCGAAAAAGGAGGTTTTACAAAACGGTAGTATTAGTTGTTCATTGGGACGATAAGCCCAATTACTGGTTTTGTTTGTTTGGCGGTCGGGTTTTGCAGACATATCTTTTTTTCGTCAGTAAACATTTGTTAACTGTTAACTAATAAAGACAACACTTTCTAAGGATCTTCAATTAAATTAATCGGCACGGTAGAAATGAATAACCACATAACTGGCTAAATACACACATAAGACTCGAACGTTTCATTAAAAAAAAATTCAAGTACGAAGAGTTAATCGATGTTACCTGTCTCACATAAGAAAGTGTTAGAGTAGGTGACCAACAAGCCAACATGTGGCTGTGGTCTTTCGTATTTATTATGGTAATAAACGAACCTTTATTCGTATTAATGATAAAACAACTTGGCATTTTATATCTTTGTCCCTTTGTCACAAGCATAGATATAGTCATTACAGTTATTACAAGTACTTGTAATTGATCGTTAGAATCGTGAGATATTTACTTAAGTATTATAACTGTTAAACGTGTTCCTAGTCGAAGGTTTACGCCACCAATGAGGATATCGGCCTTTTCCATTAAGAGACTAGCACTTATTGTATGTGTACTGCATCTCATCAGTAAACGATATTGTGATATCGGCATGCATAAGTGGGTGCTCGTAAGTTGACGAGTTCACTGAACTCCCTCACCCTAGAAATCTCTAAGTGGTTTCCAATAATCGAGTAGAGATATCTATGGTATAGTTGTACACCATTAGTCCTTATGACCTAGACATCACCGTGACTTCACTAGAGGACCAGCTGTATCGTGACCTGTCCCTGAGTTCCACCGAGGACTATCCCAAGGGCCAGTGTGTTGGGATGTGAAGCCCAGGATTTCAATAAAAATTCGCAAGAGGTTTTAGATTAGCCGGTTTTAATTTTATTAACATGCTTTGATTAGATTCGTTTTAAAACAGAATAAATCTAATCTAGCAACTTACAGTTTTTGCGTGAGCAGATTCGTTTCTATCTTCGGCGCACGAACGAGGATCCACGTCAAAAGTCTTCAACCTTCGTAAAAGCTGCTGTCCAGAAATTTTCAGTCCTCTTCCTTCACCGATATCTCCGCGATCGTTAATCCGATCAAGAAACCCTTCGGGAAGATTGTAGATCTAAGGGATAGGAAGCTACTGTATAAATTTCGAGCCTATCTGACTAACAGTTGATTTATGGTGATTTTCTACACAGGACTGCTCAGAAAATTCGGGATTTATAGTTTTGCTCTAAAAACCTATAATTTTCTATTGTATATCCCGGATTAATAATTCTTCTACAAGGGTGGACTTGGACTTGAAGAAATCTAAACTATAATCGAGAAACTTAGAGAGAAAAGAAGAAGAAAATAATATTCTCCAGAACGAGAATAGGCGTGTACGAATTCTCATTTTCTCATCAACCCAATCTCTATCATATATAGCACAAGGAATTAGAGTCACACATAGAGAGGATTACATGGAAACAAATCCCACTCCTTCTATAACTCTATATAGTCAAAAATTGCAATCCAATGGGGACTTAATTTTCGGCTATATTAATTCCAATATATAATATTGGTTGAACTTTTATTTTCTCGATTAATCAGAAAATCCATTGGGCTACAATAGGGATTATAGGAGAAAATATGAATCGGGCAACTAATAATTAATTAAATTCAAACTCTTAAAAGAATTCATTTAATTAATCATTAAATAATTATTTATTTTCTACTACCAAATAATTATTGAACTCCCGTTTATATTCTCAAATATTACATTCGAGCTCCGGTCGATCATTACTTAGATTTTTCCCACATTAAGATATCTTATAACCACCAAATAATTTATTCACTGCTAAATAAATTAAATGATTTCTTTTCATGAGTCTTACCCGCTTAACTTAGTTGAGTATGGCGGATACGAAATCCGCCTGGCCAGGACTTGGCATAAACAAATCTTATAAGCTACTCAAGGGTTATTATCAATCCCATATTTCAGAGATGTGGATTCCTTTCGATAATTAATTTCCACCTATTCATTCTTAATGTCTCTACCCAACGCACCGGGGGCCATTTGACTCAATATAGGAATCTCTCCCATTGTGACATCAAAGTAGAGATCATCAATTAAATATGTACGTTAATTATCTAGGGATTAAGAGAGTAAGTAATTTACTGTCAACTAAAAATAATACAGTTTCATTTATGAACACCGATGAAAAAATTATTCCACTTTGTCCGGTTCAACACATGCCGGGTGTGCTAGCACAATAAGTCAAAACAATAACTACAAAAGTTATTCTCTGTTTACTGTGATCAAGACCAATCACTTAAATATTGTGCTACAATCTTTTACCAATGGTTAGTCCATTTACATCTAGATTGTGAACGTTTATCTTTATATTCTAAACGAACTTTCGAAATGATCTTTCTGTGCGCCGTAGCACACCATCTCAAATACTATTAGAATATTAGATTTATGCTTTTAATTAATTGACAAACAATCAATTAAATGCATTGAATACCTTAGTGAAGATTCTCATAAAATGATAATAAACTATTCTATTAATTCAATAATAAAATTATGTACCTAAAAGCGAGACTTTTAGTCTACTATCCTAACAATCTCCCACTTAAACTCAAAGACTCGCAGCTCAACATCTCTAACCCATTCATATAACATATCTATGGGGCTATTATACGATGTAAAAGCATACATTGTATATCTAGCAGAATATGCAATCGCAGGATTGCATAAACCTCCCACTATACGTTTTCACTTTCTTAGGAAAATGAATCTCCCAAAGTGATAACATGATAAAGGAAAATTACTATACTCGACCATTAATTATTGAGTCGTACCAAGACTATCTGCCTAGTAAACTAGTATATAATCTTGTATCCTTGAATACTTAAGAATATACTTTACCGCAGTCTAGCATACTAGCCTTAAATAAATTCACATTTGCTAACTATGCAAGATGCAAAGCAAACCTTGAATTTAATTATTTACTATAGAAAATGTAAGGCTTCCTTTACAATAAGGAACTGCCTTCAACATCTCTATCAAATTACTTGTTCAAAGAAACTAATTTCTCGATAGAGTGACTCCGTGACTGAAAGAAACAATCCTTTCCTTGGAATTTGTACATGCTAAATTTGGCAAGTATTTAAATCAATATAACTTGTCCGTGACAACTTAATGTTTTATTTCATAGATCATATAAAATGATCCATACAACATAACTAGTTTCACTCAAGTTATCCATATTGATTTGACTCGAGAAACAATACCCTTACCTAAATAATTTCCAAATCGTTTTCTAAAAGGAAATTATTTTCTAATACATCTTTTAAGACTTTCACCACGCTTCCGTTACAAAATGTGATATATCTAGATTCCTAATCAAAATCAAAACATTGATTCTATGATCAATCTAAATATCACATGATATGCGCACTTTGGTTAAATTCATAAATGAATTTATTAAGTTTGCATAGCAATGCATATGGTACTAAGATAAAATCCATTTAATTTGCATCGTGAAATGCACTCGTCAAGAGATACGAAATCTTGACATCCATCTACCAAATTAAAACATGGCACTGACAGATTTTAGGAATTTGAAATAGAATGAAGTGTGGCTACTAGCTAGAAAGTTTCCTCGTAGTCGATCCATTTCTTTTCGACAGAACCTTCTTACTTAAAGCCTAACCCTTTAAAAGGTTTTCACTTTTCTCTGTCTAATCATCTCCACTTTGGATTCTTATAGCATTAAGCCAATTTCTTGCATCTATAGAAATGGGCGTTCATTCATAGTTCTAGGAAGGAACTATATGTTTATCAAGAATCTTGTTATCACTAAGATTCTATAAACATACAATCTTACGATTTCGTTATGAATCCTCCCACTAGGATAAATCACCCTAAATGTAACACTAGTAACTTAAATTCCTCCCACTGGAAAGTGGCATTGGAATTT